AGTAATATGTTACTATCAAATGAATTGTTACAGTAATATGTTACTTTCAAATGAATTGTTACAGTAATAAGTTACTTTCAAATGAATCGTTACAGTAATATGTTACTTTAAAATGAATTGTTACTTTAAAATGAATTGCTGCAGTAATATGTTACTTTAAAATGAATTGTTACAGTAATATGTTACTTTCAAATGAATTGTTACAGTAATATGTTACTTTCAAATGAATTGTTACAGTAATAAGTTACTTTAAAATGAATCGTTACAGTAATATGTTACTTTAAAATGAATCGTTACAGTAATATGTTACTTTAAAATGAATTGGTACAGTAATGTTACTTTAAAATGAATCATTACAGTAATTCGTTACTTTAAAATGAATCGTTACAGTAATTCGTTACTTTAAAATGAATCGTTACAGTAATATGTTACTTTAAAATGAATTATCTGTTTTGCTAGTACATAAGAGAGTTATCTTTACTTCACTTGATGAAGACATTTAACTAATTTTATAATCCTCACATTTTCTCATCGAACTCCATTTATCAATTTGCCTTTTCTTCAAGTCTCATATAATCTTGATTTGTCTTATAATTGTAAGATGTTCTGATTTAAAGTGACCAGCTATTCCTAACTAAAGTGATGGACATAAATTATCTATTTATTACTTCACAGTAATAAATCAATTTGTACGTCAGGTGTTCATTGAGTACTTCAAGGAACTTGAAGAGGAAAGTATACGTGATAACTTTGTTGTAATATATGAACTTCTTGATGAACTGATGGACTTTGGATACCCACAGACAACTGACAGCAAGATCTTGCAGGAGTAAGTGAATTACTTATTTTTGATGAAAAAACTGTCACATGAGATATAAGTTTATGATATTTAATGATTGCAACAAAATGTGTTTCTGAACTTCTCATTTAACAGATAATAAAGACATTAATGTTTGATCATTAAATATGATAAGTATTAAAATATAACTCAGTTGACTTTTACTGTTACATTAAAAACTCTTAACGTATAGATACCAACATTAAAAAGTCCATCTAACGTATAGATACCAACATTAAAAAGTCCATCTAACGTATAGATACCAACATTAAAACTACTAACATATAGATACCAACAATAAACTACTAACATATAGATACCTAACTATTAAAACGTCCAGTACTTAACGTAGTAGTACTACCTAACGTTAGTTTAAAACGCCTAACGTACTTA